TGTATTTCAGTATTTCTGGGTTTTGAGTATCTGGACTCTCTACTTCTAGAGAGCGAAGTTTATGTGGCTTGAAAATGAGTAAAAGATGCTGAATAAGTATTAATTCCTGTTTACCTAGCTCACCTTCTGGTCTGGTCATCTTGCTTAATATTTACCAATATTTATAGTCTCTATAGATTTTTTTCCTTTAGTGAACAGCATTTGTGGCTGTTATGGGTGCAGACTTGTGAGAATCTCTGACAGCCAGTACAATTTCTTTTGTTGGCATATCAGCATCTCTAGCCAGGTTTTGTGCTTGTTCTTCTATGCAGATCTCTTGGGCTTAGAGGTAGCTGGGCTTTAATGTGGCCAAGACAGTGTGATACCTGCTAGCCATGAGAAGTAGAGATTGAGATCAAATGTACTGTAGTTTATTATTCCAAATCTTGGAGGAGAAACTTTATGGTGGTGGTGGTGGATGTATGTGTGAAACACTGTAACTATATTGTGTGGACAATAATCAAATTAATTGATTAATGATGGGGAAAAATCTGTGTAAACTCCTTTTGTTTAAAAAACAAAGCAAAGTTTGCTGCTTATACACCGCCCCATAGTTATGCAGGCTAGACACTGCCCCTCCCTGCGAGCTGGGTACTCAGTTTGCTGACCTCAAAAGGTTGAAAGGTTGAGTGAACCTCAGTACAGCTACCTGAATTGAACCCAGGTTGTGAGTAGAGTTTTAGCTGCAGTATTGCAGTTTTACTACTCTACGACATGGTTCCTTAACTAGAAGGGATGGCTTATATTGGAGATGGAGTGTGCCATTGGTTTTATTTCTTATCACATGTTGTGGGAAAATAAGTGTACTTTAAAAAATAGATATTTTGTCGCTGGTATTTGTGGAATGGGTCTCCTTTCTTCCCTTTTCAGTTCTTTCTCATTTCCTCTTTTGTCTAAAAGAAAGGATTCCCAGCTGCCTACTGAAGCTTGTGCAGATGATCTGTTTAAGTTCTCACCTGGGTACAGCCAGGGCACTGTGAAGAAATTCTTTGGCATAAGGTGGTGGTTTCTGACAGCATAGTGTTGTGGAGGTCACCATGACCTTGCTAGAATTTGTTTTGAAACACTTGGCAGATGCAAGAATAGAACTGAGGAGTGCAAAATTCAATCTCTTTCCTCTACTCCATGCATGTTGACTTCTCATTTAACGTTACCAACATAGACCGTGCCAACAGTGGAAAGTGAGGGTAGGTATAAAATGTAAGTTATTGTTGGTTACACACCATTCAACAGTCCAGTAGAATAATGGTTGTTGTTGGTTTTTTGGGCTTTCTGGCCGTGTTCTGAAGGTTGTTCTTCCTAACGTTTCGCCAATCTCTGTGGCCAGCATCTTCAGAGGACAGCACTCTGTGCTCTGGTGTTGTTTGTGAGTTGAGTGTTTATGGCTGTCAGATAGGCTTTTGTCCTTTTCAGGAGATGGGTGATTAGTGTGTCTTGTTGTGGGTGTATTGTAATACTCAACTCCCAAGCAAACTGCACCAGAGCATAGAGTGTTGTCCTCTGAAGATGCCGGCCACAGAGACTGGTGAAACGTTAGGAAGAACCTTCAGAACATGGCTAAAGAGCCCGAAAAACCCACAACAACCATTAGATCCTGGCTGTGAAAGCCTTCACGAATCTATTAGAATATGTTAGCTCTTTGGATATACAGCTTAATGTGATGAGGGTGTGTGTATCAGGAAATATGAGAGCACTACAGTCAGGAAACTAGACTCTATTAAGAATGGGACTCTCATTTCTTTTGGACCGTAATTTCCAGAATTTGTGATAAATTCTTCCAAGTGGAATCCTGGGAGCTATAGCCCAAAAGCAGTAGTTTAAACAGGAGCTTGCCTCCTTTCCATGTGGATTTCTATTGCTATTACATTGTTTTTTTCAAGAAGAAAGAAACTGCTCTCTGTGGTTCTTAGGAGTGGTGCAAGGGTTCATGGGAGCCTCAAGTGAGTATGGGACAGGTAACCTCACTTCTATTAGACTCTATAATAGAGAGAACCTCTCAAATAACTACCCATCCCATTTTCCCTTGAGTCTCCCATAAACGTATTCGCAAAAGCACAGAGTGCTGTCCTCTGAAGATGCCAGCCATAGAGACTGGCGAAAAGTTAGGAAGAACAACCTTCAGAACATGGCCAAAGAGCCCGAAAAACCCACAATCTCCCATAAACCTTTGCAGCAATCCCAGGAACCATGGCGAGCTGTCTTCGTTTTCTTGAAAGGCAGTATAATGGCAATGAAGTGCCACATAGAGGTGAGAAAAGCTTCAGATGATTATTTCCCTTTCTCATTTACTCTTGCTTACTTTTGGAGGAAATTGGTTCTCTCTCTGTTTCTTTGTAGTAGTTATTAAGGGAACTTTAGGGCTTTTGGAGTGCAAAAACATGAAAAAATGACCCCAAAGTGACCTTCCCTTTCATATAATATGGAAGGACAAGTACAAAAAAAATTCAAAATGAGTTAAGTCACTCACCAAAGAATAAAGAAAGAAAGAAAAATCAAAATCTTGAAAGTGCAGATTCCTACATTGCTAGTGTATTTACCAATAGTTGGAATAGGTGAGAGAAGGCTAGAGTTGCAGTCCACTAAAATTTGAAAGGTCATAAATTGTTCACCCCAATGTAAATCTAAGAAACAGAATTCAGATTCAGCATCTAGCACACCTGTAAAATTCACATAGTAATGTTTAAGCAAAGAGGACTTTCCCATCCCTTCCTCTGTATAGCATGTTGCTTGGCTGAGGAGATCTTCGGATCTGAAGAAGGTATGACCTTGGAAACCGCACAGTGCATTTGAAGAAACCCTGGAGATAGTCTGCACTGTGCTTGCCAAAGAAGGCAATGTGTTTCTTTCTTACTTGAAGGGAATAAAGTACACTCATATTAAATTCATCTCATTTTCTTTCATCCTCTGAGATATGGTTTTAATTGGTGCCTTCCATCTCCAGTTCTTAATTGTGAAGATGCACAGATTATCCTTGCCAGCCTCATTTTCTCTAGAAACCTAGGACTGTCCAAGGCTCGCCAGACCTAATGCAATATCTTCTTGCAATATTGAGGGCAGGGTTTTGGTGGTTGAAGATATAAAGGATGATTCACTAATGATTCCTTTTTTAAAAAAACAGAAAATATCAATACTTTTGATTACCGAATATGACCCATTCTGAGCTTTTAGAGATCAGTAGATTTGTAAGAAACAAATAATGAATATCAACAAACAAATATGGAGATGTTCTGTACTGATTTTTCCCCAATAAATGGTGCTGGGGGGGCGGGATAACAATGGTCTGTGAGCCAGATCTTGTGCCTGTGACACATGCCATTTTGTGCAAATGAAAGAATAGAGGGGAAAATGCCTAAGTTACTGATAAGGCATTCTAAGAGTACTGGAGGAATCGAAGCTACCCATTTTTCCACTCACATGCTATTTAGGAAATTAATCCTGACCGAAAATTATTTCTAATGTTGGACCTGGTTTCTGCACAGCATTATACTGAGCTGTTGTTCGTCACCTCCAACTTTGACATGCCCGTGGTGCTTACTGCCATGTTTGTAGCCATCCAGTCTGTGCTGACACGTGCTGATCTCTGCGCAATTTCATTCCTGAGTATTCCTTACCATCATAATCTGTGCCTATTGATTGATCCCATGGTTACAAACAGGAAAGCAGTATGTCTGAATGCATATGTGTGTGTAAGAGTGACAAATTTCTGTCTGCAAGGTCACAACTACTTTTACACTAAGCAATGTGCTCCATTCCTTTCTTACAAATTTCCAATCCCAGCCAACTAGTCAAATCTGAATTGTGATATAACTGGAATTTACTAGCAGAGACATCTGTAACATTTAATATGCAAGGCTGCCTGTTTTCCGATTGATATAAATGCGAGTTCTTTTGAAGCCTTCTCTAAGAGATTAGTGTTGGATGAACTGGCGCTTTGTGCATCAAGTTTTGCCTGGTAATAGACAAGACAGATGCAAGCTCTGTCCTACACTGTAATGAGACATAGGCATCTTCTGATGCAAACAGCATTTTTTTAAATTGGCATTTTTATTTAAAATTAATTCAAGAGAACATCTAGCCCCAGGTTATAATCTCTCATTATGTAGATACAGACTCCTGTTAAAATAGCCAGCTGCCTGACTCTGCCAAGCAAATCTCTCCTTCCCAAGGAAAAAGCTATGAGATTGTTCATGTAATACTTCTGTTACATGGCATATACTTAACAATGCATGGTGGGGTCACTGGTATTATGTTAAGTGCATGAATAACCCAATAGTTCCTATATATTATTATTTACTGGTGTTCTGACTGGGATGAGGTGGGGTGGAAAGAAATAACAAGAGGATACTAGCTTTGACTGGCTATGTTTGGAGCATATACTTTTGTCTCCTTTTAAAGGACTAGGGAAAGTGCTTAAGTCTGCTTAATCTGGCTAAATAAATGGGCTATTGAATTGTACATTAAATACACTATATAATAAATCGTTGTTAAATATATTTAATTGCACATTAAGTGCATTTTATTTTGCATTAAACAAAAGAAACTAAAGAGACGGCAGCATCAGCACAACAGCATCTTTTTAACACTGTGTCAATTACCCATCTTATTTGGCCCAAATGTCCCTCTGTTGCAGTAGCAAGGGGAATATTTGCACTTCTTAATTCAAATCAATAGATTTTTTTAAAATTTGTTTTTTGTACTTTTGAAACTGTTCCCATAATATTGGATCCCCAAACTAGAAAAAATTGCCATTACTATGATGATGCCTATTTGCCTTTAACAAATGTAACCTACTGAAAGCTTGCCCATTAAAAAAGAAGCCCCAAACATTGATCTTTTTAGAGGCAGTCAGCATGCTTTGTATGTCCAGTGAAATAAAGTAACTTGTTAAGCTAGTTCAAGCACAAGAAGATCAGCACTAAGACTTACGTGGCGGACCACACATATCCAAGAGTGTTCGCGGTCATCTGCATGAGGGCTTTTGATCTCCATAAAGCAAACAGTGCTTCAGTTTTTTATCAAGGTGTGACTTGTTCCAGGCAGTCTGGAAGTTATGAAAGAATGGGCCCAGGAATTTATTTTTATTTTCTGAATAAATATTAGAAGCAGGAGCTGAATATAATTGAGCAAGAACATTTTTTATATAAAAACATAAGCTTGGTATATAGAAATATTTATTCTCTGGAGGTCAAAGCAGAGAACACAGACTTGTATTCCATAGCAGTTTTCTAAAATAAGAGGGTACTCCCTGGTATAACATCATATTTTTTCTACTACCAGGCAGTCTGCTGTCATCAAGGATATATAAAAATCATTCCGTTTGTTCCTTGATATAGATGATGTTTCTTGTCTGCATAATTCTTGGACTCTGAGGCTGTAAATAAACAATATCACTCTTCTTTCTGGAGGAGATGATAGAAAAATATGAACAAACCATAACCAGCCATTTAAGATCTTGTTTTTTGTGGGGAGAAGTGAAATCCTGCTTACATTTTGATGAGGAAAGATCCCATAAATATATCGTATTTCTTTTCTTGTTCCTGTGATGAAAATGGGTCTTGGCTTTATTCCAGTGCCCTCCATCCTTTGTAGAGATTGCTTGCTATCCATCTGCTAGGGACTGTTGCCGTGTGTCATGCGATGTGGTGGGAGGGTCAGAAAAGCCTGAACTGTTGGATTCAGTGTCCAGCTTAAGTTGCAGGAGTCTGGTGTGTTTAGCATCAGGAAAGTCCTCACTGACAGCCAGCTTGACCTTGCCATTCTGGGCATCCTTGATGGGCTCTAGGAAGACAACATGCTTGTTTGCGCTGACCTTGCGGTTCATGGGTGGGGGAGTGGTACTGAGAATGGACGATTGGGCACTGCAGTCTTGCGGAGGACTTACAGGCTTCTTGCAGCACCTGGAGCAGCGGCAGGGTGGCATGTACAAGTATAGAAGGACTAATACCAAGCTGACAACACACCCTAGGAGAGTTGTGAGTGCAGTATTGAAAGTCTCCACTAATTTGGGGTGCTGGACTGTAACATTGACTTTATGTGTCATGTTGATCTTTTGAAGCTCACTGATCGCTATGCACACATACAGACCAGAATGTGAACTCTGAGCATTTATGATCTTCAGACTTCCGTTTTTGAAAGGATGATGTGTCTTATCCCAGTGCTTTGAATACATGAATAATTCATGACGAGGAGAAAACCACTGATAGGTGGTGGTGTTGTCATCATGGAGGCTTGTTTTACAGTCTATTACCAAGGATTCTCCCACTTTACTGTGCACTTCTGGAGTAGCAAATTTCATTTGAATTGAGGAGCAGTTTTCAAAGTATGTGCTGTACATAAAGGTTTTGATTAAAGTGGAGGGCATATTAGCATAGGCTTTGCAAGTGTGCTCCTCTTTGAAATCCTGTACGGAACTGAAACCATGGTGCTTCCATTCCAGGAGCATCTTCTCAAGAGAACAGTCACATCTCACAGGATTGTTGTGAAAATATAAGCCATTTTTAATGTATACTGGCAAGGATTTTATGACTTCTACAGGAATGCTGTGTAGATTGTTGGTGGAGAGATCAAGAGTCCTCAGATAAGGATGTTCAAGTCTTTGAATGAATTCAAATGGAAATTGAGTTAGGTTGTTCAAACTTAGATAGATCTTTTGCAAACTGGTTAGCTTGACAAAAGCATTTTCATCAACATGTACAATTTCATTGCAGTATAGCAAGAGCTCTTTCAAGTTCACAAGCCCTTCAAAGTAGTATTTCTCCACAGTGCGCAGGTGGTTGAAGGATATGTCCAGATGTGTGAGATAAGTAGCATTGTAGAATACTTGTTGGGTGATCTTGCTGATCTTGTTGTGGTTGATCCTGAGGGTTTGGAGGCGTGGCAAGGCAGCCAGCCAACTACCATTAAGCAAAACAATGTAATTGTGGCTGAGATCTAAGGTGGTAGCTGTAGGAGGCAGCATGTCAGGGACTTGCTTGAGACTCTGGTTTACACAGCTCAAGAGATCAGCTGTACAAATGCAAACAGCAGGACATCTTGCAAAAACAAAACATTTGTTTATGGTACTGATCTGAATGCACAGTTCAAACAATATCAGCAGTTTCCCAAGTAGTTTCCAAATAGATACAGTCAATGTCAGCACATTCATTGTGCAATAGCGGGGTTCACCCTGTGTTGCCAGCAGCATAGAAACAAGCTGCCAAAGTAACATTCAAACTGAGTATAGCCCTGCCATGGAACACTGTCATAACATTGGACAACAGTATAATCAGATGCTGCCTTTGGAAAGATCAGTTTTTATTCCTGTAAAGCTTCCATGTCATGCCCAAGATAAACCAACATCTAGGTGATGCACTGCAGTTGATTACCAGGGTAGAGCTGCTGCTCAGCATACTGCTTCTAGGTGCTGTAAAAACTAGCAAGAGTCTGTGTACAGTTTTTGCCCCAAATAATTTTAAAGACAAGGTTCCTCTGTTTAAATCAGCTTGAAATCTATTTCCAGGAGCCTTGATTTGCCTCCAAACTTTATCTCTTCAAATAATTTAAACTTGCATTCATTTGAAGCCAGCATTTCAACAGTTCTGATGTATGGAAAAGTCATATCCATTTTCTTCTTTTCCAAGCCAAGCTCCTTAGATGCCCAAGTTGCTATTAGTGAATCCTCATCTTGTGGTTAGGCAACAATTCCTGTACAGATCCATCATAAAGGAGGCTTGGGTAGGAACATGTCCCTTCATCTCTGTATTCCCAAATGGAAATGCTAAAGAAAACAGCTCTTACCCTGATATCTTCCTTTCTGGATGATATTGAAGAGCATCACTCATTCTGGTTGGTTGCTTGTATCTCCTTTCAGCTGAGCTCAGTGTATGCAAACACTTTCTCCGTCGTCTTTTCCTATTTACAAGCTCCCTGTGAACAGTGAAAAGTAAGCCTTATGGATAAGGAGCAATTCGATTGGTTTGTGTTTAGAAGGAGTGATTATGGAAGGGGAGGAGAAAAGAGAACATGGTGTACAGTATTTTTTTATGGCATGTTGTTTCTTTGTCTTGCCATGTGGGGGCAGAATAAACCTATAGAATTATTCGGAGATTGGCCATCAAAGTGGCACACAGGAACTGCAGCAACTTGAGCTAGCTGAACAATTACAAAGGGAACCAAGAGGAAATGAAAAAGCAGTCTTGAGTTGAAGAAGATGATCCTGATTTTATTAAGCAGTCCATGTTCTTCTGCTTTTCCAGTTGTTTCAGTGTGTGACTATAAGCCCTGTCAATTTGCAACTCTTGGAAACTTGGCTCTATTTGAATGGGGAAGCCGTAAAAAGTTGTGAGCAAGATTGTACTGCTACTATTCCCAACGTTTTACAGAATGGAATATACTCCTTGCTCCTTGATATTAGTCATTTTTGAATACTTAGAATTTCTTTGCATGTTAAGTGGAATTGTGTTATAATCAGTTTCTTTGTAACTTTCACAATAATTCACGGTAGCTTTTCTGGTTAAATCTGTTTTTTTTAACTGTTTACTATTATTCATGCCAGGTTCAGCAAACACAATGCTTTGCAGACTTTGATAACTTTGGTACAGACTCTTGCATAATACACCTGCATATAGGAATGTGGGAGGGGGCTGTGAAAACAGAGATGGCACAGTGACCGCTTGAGATCACTAAAGAAATCCAAAGCCTGAGCAAGTTTTTATGAATTTTTGTTTAGTATCTTATGGCACAGCATTCCTCCTTTGGAGTTTTAAATATCTTCCGTTGTTGTGCCTTCCTGATTAACGCAGCGGTGTTTGCACTCCAAGTCAAATTTCTGATTAAATCTGGTTTTTTTAACTGTTTACTATTAGTCATGCCAGGTTCAGCAAACACAATGCTTTGCAGACTTTGATAACTTTGGTACAGACTCTTGCATAATACACATGCATATAGGAATGTGGGAGGGGGCTGTGAAAACAGAGATGGCACAGTGACCGCTTGAGATCACTAAAGACATCCAAAGCCTGAGCAAGTTCTTATGAATTTTTGTTTAGTATCTTATGGCACAGCATTCCTCCTTTGGAGTTTTAAATATCTTTATTTGCAGGTGGAGAAGACTGAGACACGTGGCTATTCAATCTGTAATTCAGGACAAGCAGCCAAACTCTATGGTCTATGATATTCGCTTCCCACAAACAAAGCGAGATGAGATTTCTTTGATGTTCAGCACTTTAGGCTGCTGTTCTTGCTTGTGATCTGCATGCTTTAGCTTTTCGTCCCTTTGAAGTTAATGAATGGCTCCCTTGGTAGTGTTCTGGAAGTTTCCCACTGAGGTTCTCCTTACCAGGAAGCAGTGTGCTGAGGGAAGGCTCATGGCTGGAGGCAGTGACATCATTTCTGTTGCTATGCTGAATTAGTACTATACACACAACCCAGTCTTCCAGTATTTTACCCTTTACTGCCACCTTCCTTGCAGCAAAATTAGTACAGTGGTAGGAGTGGAACGCAACCTCATTATTCTAACAATGTCCTTTTGTAGTGAGGTAGAACTTTATGTTATACTAGTGTCAAATTCTTAGTAGTTGACAGGGCTCAACTACACGTTGTAAAACTCCTGTTTTTATGTTGGGTTTGGCACACTTGAAAGCAATTTAAAAATCTCCAACTACATGACATAAAGCTAGGCATGCTTTTTTTTAAAAAAAAAATCTGAACACCTGCATGAGGTTGTTTATTTTAAATCAATTATGGGCACACCTTTTTCTTTTCTACTCTTTTGGCATGTGTGATTGCCTGTGTCAGAGTAAATAGTGTTTGTGGTTGTCCGTGAGGTTTGCCAAACTGGGTACTAAGTACAGTGGGTTTTGGGCTGCAGGATACCCTGCAGTCTGAACTCTTCCTTTTCCCCCGTACAGTATCTGTTTCTGTTTTAGCGCTGCATTGATTTAGCACTATGCCAGTTCAAAACATATAAAACAGTTAAATATTAAAAAACACACAAAAAAACTGGGAACAGGTTGTTGTTGCTGCTGCCACCTCTGCAGCTGCACTAAGACTCGTGATTCTTGCTGCCCTGACCACTTCCAGCACTCCAGCCTGAAGCTGTCTCCTATGTCATGGACCATGAGTGGCTTCATGTCTTGCTGGGAACTTGCTCTGCTCTGCCTTCTGGAGTGATGTCACTTCCTGAAAACTCTCCTCATTGGAACGCAAGACTGTGCCCTCCCTCTCAGCTCTGCAGAGTTCCCAGGGGTTTCAGGAAGCCAGCTTCCATGAGGAAGCACACACCGACAGAAAATCACATGACATATCAGTTTCTAAAAAACTCAGACCAACTCTCAGTTTAATTGAGTACCAAAGTTGCACCCACAGTCTTGAGTTAGATTGCTGTCATCTTTACAATAGTTTTATTACATACTGGCAAATTGGCTCTGGCTTATGGTGACCCTATTATGATTTCACAGGTATGTGAGATGTTAAAGGAGTGGTTTTCCTGGTGCCATCTCCAGTCCGTTTCAGTGGCTGGGAGTGAATCTGTATCCAAGTCTCCTGAGTCCCAATCCAATACCCTGTCCACTGTACTTTAACATTCACTCTCATATAATGGTGTCTTCATACATTATTATTTGCTCTACCATGCTGGATGAAACAGACCTGTCCCATAAACCTTGCTATTTTAATTCCCCATTTGTTTTAATTTATTTGCTTAAGGAAATTAATTAGCCATAGGTCTTGAGCAACACAAATAATAATTAGCATTCAGGAGTCTGCCTCCCTTCTTTCACTTGAATTTTGTCCTTTACTTCTCATCACATTCATTGCTCACACATGTCATGGCATTGATTGTTGACTTGTTGAGTTGATGATGTCACTAAGGTGTTAATGGTATTGCTATTTTTGTACAGGTTCTTTGCATGTGTTTTTGTGAAAGAGAGAGCAAGAAAAATATGTAGTGAAATTGAGAAGGAAAGACTTCTCATGTACAGATGGAAATATGTCAAAGGGCAGATCAAACCTGTGACACCCTCTATACTTTTTCAGTCACTGTTGCATAACTATGCATAGTGGGACATTTATGTCATGATTTGCCATCTTTTGTTTCCAATTGCATATATGACTTTTTTCAGATTTTTTCTAACAGTGTACTCTATTTTCCTGATTTTCTTTATTCCATATCTTTCCATGGTTTGTTGAATAGTGTGACCTCAACTTGTTCACAGTGAGCTGAGAAATATGTTGGCAAATATCGCAAGCCGGTGAGCTACTGGATTGGAGAATTGTCAGAATCTCTTGTCTGTATGATAAAGCAAAGGGAGAGGTTGTGTGGGGTTCACCTAGTAACTGTGACTGTGTAGGATTGCTATTGATTCAGTGAGTCTGCTCAGGTTGAAAATAAGTCTGTGCTCCACAGAATGGGCAGAGAGGGGTTGGGAGATTGTGTGCCATTGAGTTACCCTTTCTTGATGACTCTCTTTAAGCTGGTGTGAAAGTTGACCAGGCATATCAGGGGAACAATTGCTGGGACAGAAAGATCAGTGGCTAGAATGTAATTTTCCAGCCTGCTTATTTGAGGCAAAGAGAAGTCAAAGCTGAGTAATTGGTTTCCATTAGGGCAGTAAATGACTAATTTGACTGCTGCAGCTGCTGAATGTGATGGGCACTTAACCCTCTGTTTTCTAGTTGTAGAGGAGATAGTTTGCAAAAGAGAGTTGCCAGATGCTTCCCACATGCAGCTGCTTTTAAAAGTACTGTAGAGTCTAATATGCAGAATAGATCTGCTCCGTGGCTCCTTTGTGATGAGCAACTTTGTTGTCCCTAGCTTATATCTCTGTCTCTTCTTTAGGAGAGATACATTTGGATGCCATGAGCTTACTTTCCTGAATGAAAGCATTTCGCTTTTGAGACATTTCTTGCATTTTTGTGGAGTCCTATATTTTAGTAAATAGACTGTGCCTTAGAATTTCTGTGGTCTTTAATCTGAGCATTTGTAGCAGGTTTACAGGCATGGAAAAAACTTCCCATTTCAAAGCAGATAAATATGATCATCGTTAACCCCCCCCCATACACACACTTTATATATACATTTAAACATTTTAGTCTAAATCAAATTATTTCTTGGTGATTTCCCACGTATCTTTCTTCCAGAATCCCTACTGAGACTTCCTCTACTTCAGCAAGATTCCCCAGCTTCCCACAAAAACGTGATCCTAGTTTTATTTTTCTCCCCCACCCCCAGGAAAATGCCAAATGCTGCACAGCTTTATGCCATTTCTGGTGAATCTTTTTCATTTTTAGCTGTGGTTTTGAGGGGCTGTTGTCCTTTCAGGTCAACACTATCCTTAAGGACTTGTGATTAGATTTTAAAAGGTGCTGAGAAGATGTCTGTGCCTGCCCATGAGGACCATGTGACCCACTAATATGAAAATTAGTGGGTAAGGTCATCACCTCTTCAGGAAATAAGGTTGCCACAAAGAAGATTACGCCTTCAGCCTGCTTTCTTTATTAGATGGTATAATAGCTAAGAGAGTGACTGGTGTGAAATGTGATTTTTTAATATATATAGTTTTGACAATGTTGTCATTGCAGTGCATAATCTCCTTAGATGGGCTTCAGGAGTGCAATGTAGCATCAATCCTTGGAAGTTGCATGTCTGCTTGTTTGATATTAGAAAACCAAGGAGAAAAATTCATAGAAAACCCTGTCTTTGTTGCACCTACTGTAACTTCAGAGGCTAGCAACTTTGAATGTAGCAATCTGTTACTATGACAATAATGTCATTATTTTGGCTAAAATTTTCCAAAGCTTGGGAGAGTCCTAGAACATTAGAATATTGGAAAATCAGACGCAACACCAAGCTATTGGAACTATAAACAGTGCAAACTATAAGACCTGCATATGCAACTTC